AGTGGAATTAAGTCTTACTCCAGGCCATTAAAAATTGTGTTGTGTACAAAACCTGGAAAGCAATTGTTTCATCTTACTTACCTCAGGCTTTGAACTTACATCAGTTCAAAGCCACTGATGGCATTTTATCAGAGACTTGAGCAAACTCAGTATAGTCTAGGAGAGAGGAGGAACAATCAGATATTTATGAACATGACTTAGGTGGGATGTAAACAAATTGTTTAGCAGTTCTGCAATAACTGCCCTCACACCCTTCCACATTTCATTTGGGAATTACTTTTTCCCCCCATTCTATTGATGTGATATACACAGATTTCAGCATCACTGTCTATTGTATACCTGATAACTGACTAGGATTGATTCTGTCCACATGCAAAGCCCTGGGAACTCCCCCTTACAGTCAAGTGCTGTGAACAAGCTAGTTTTTTATTGTCTCAACTTTTAGTAGTAGTAAAACGCCAAGGCTGGTTATGCAACCCAGGTACAAAGTCCACAACTGCTTAATGATTCAGCACATCAATGATATTTCATAACACAGTGTAATGTGTAAACTTCTATAGTTTATTTATTATCATACGTTTCACTGTACACCAGCTAAGTCCCAAATCTCCTCAGAAGCCTTTGCAACAAGTGAAGTCGACTTGAGAACTTTCCATCAGGTAAAATGCATAAACTCTTTCTGAAAAGGGTGATAAATGCATGATGGCAAAACTCACCTTGACTCTTCACTCACCACTCCCCTTATGTAAGCTGGTAGTTCACATTATGGCTTTTTGAAGGTTGTCTTAAAGAAAATAATGTGAAGCTCATGTTTTTGTGTTAACATGCCTATTTGATTGACCAACTGATGTAAAGATCTGTCAGTCTTTGCTTTGTATCGATTGGTTTGCAGGAGTTTGATGAACAGTTCTGCTTTTAATAACTTACTAACTAGATGTACTCAAATGTTAAGAGGAACTGTCACTGAAGGTGCAGAAAGTCCTCTGTCCTTTATTCTGTGTTATTAAACTTCCATTTGCATTTCTGGAAAGATGCACTTGCACATACTCACAGGCCACAAAAGGAGATATTTACCAAGCTGCCCAGGACATGTGACAGCAAGGTTGAGGCAAACTAATTCCCCACTGCAAGAACTGAATGCATGTAACTATTTTAAGGAAATGTCACATGCTCACTATGAAGATCAATTTGCAGTAACTTTCTCCTGTTTCTTCAGCCTGACTTCCAGCTTATCCTAAGCAGAACAGTTACAATATTTCATTTCTTCTGTTATTAAGCAGACCTGAGTGAGGGATGAAGTCCCAAGGAACACTTTAAAGTAATCATTCTGGAATGTGCCATTTCACACATAAAAGGGACTTACATGTTGTGAGTGCTGACATAAACTGTGCTGTGATGAAACAATGAGAGAACTGCCTTTTGTTTGTCTCTTCCCTGCTTTTCCACCAAATTCTGCATGCTACCCTGGGTTCTTTTTGGCTGTCAAATGCCTGAATATGTACTTTTGCCTCCTGAACATGAACTCCATCCCACAGGATACAGACAGGGCTGTTACTTTGTGCTTTACCAGCCCTACTGAGTTCCCATCCCTTTGCACACATACAAGTGACCACAGAGTTCACAGAGATTCCTGGATGGATTTGAAGCAGATTGGATTTAAGAGCCCTCAAGCTTTGCAGATCTTTTACCTAAGTAACAGACCTTCAAGCTCCTGCTTTATGTAAGATTCAGGTCCAATTTCAAGGGCAGCTTAAGCTGTCACTAGCTGGCACTGCTGCTGAAAGAAGTACCCAGACTCTTTGCCTGTCCTTGACTGACCCCATCTATTGTGCCAGCAGAAGATTCTGGCACTGGTTCACTCAAAAGAAGGCAGGCTTTTGACTACATCCTCTTGCTGCTTCTTCCAAAAGTAACTTTTTATTTGTATCCATTTTTTCCCCCACCCACCAAGTAAAGAGCTGTACAACAAGCTGACATCAGGCAAAAAGCTACAAACCTGGGCTAATCTCCTAGTGCTTCCTTCTGCCCAGGCCTGTGCTTAGCTTCAGGTGCCAGGGACAGGTCACTGACATCCATGTGTCTATTAAAGGTAAGGGCACAAGTTCTTAAAACAAAGAGAGGAAATATTTAACCCCAGCAGCTGTTTCAACTCTGTAGAAACTTCTCAAAAAATAGCACAAGATAAAATCTCTTCCAGTCCCATTTTTGTTTCTGATGCCAAGAAGAAATAAATGTAGAAAGGATCCTTTTTGTCACTGGAAAGCCAGTGAGTTAAAACACACACAGGAAGATAAGCTTTTGGGAGGATTTCAGATGAGGGCTGCTTTGTGTTCTGCAGGATGTGCATAACCTGAACACAAACCATTTGTGTCACTGCCAGTAAGGGTGGGCTGAGGAACAGAAATCAAAGATGGGATGGGACAGTCATCTGTGCTCCCACAGTCCTGTGGGCTCCCTGAGGGAGTCTGAGGGTGTTTTTGTACATTTTCTGCCAAGAGGAGCCAGGCACAGGCCCCGTGTCCCCGCTGCACAGTCCCAGGGCTGGCAGGGGCAGGCTGCTGGCTAAGGGCTGCTGCACACACCTGCCCTCCCCACACAGCCATCTCCCCAGCCTGCCCCAGCTGAGCCCAGGCTCTGCGTGCTTTGGTGCAGATCATCTTCTTCCTCAGCACTTCAATAAATACACACAGCACTGTTTTGGAATTGGGACAGACTAAGAACAGAGCAGCTGGATTTCAAATCTGGCTGTGAGCAAATATGCACTGAGGTTTAAACATCTTTTGGATTTTTTAGTCCATCAGAACCTTATGAAGATCAAACAAGTCTAATACAGCCAAATACTTCAATTATTACTAACACCAAGCTCACTGGTGCTATATGAAATATAAAAAAAATTATGCGATTTTATGTCCTCATTAATCATCTGTGTATGTAGATAGTTTTTCCCAGCCTACATGTATAATTGTGAGGTATTTTGAGATCTTTCAAAGGCAAGTATTATTCAAAACTCATGTATAAACAGGAACACAATGGCTATATTTTTGTTTTCCTCAGCATATTTCTGGCTGCCTAAGGAACATAGTTAACCAGCTGCTATTTTCACTCATCTGTAGGAACAGAGATGAATAAAAAATAGCCTTTTTTTTACACAGGGATATGCTCTCCTTGTCAACATTGACTCTTTGCCCACTGAAAGGTGTCATTAAAATGATTGTTTTTAATAGTATAAACCTCATAATCAGAATTTCAACCTAACCTTCTAATGATGGTAGTGTTATAAAAAAATAACATTTAGAAAAAAAAACCAGCCTGTGTGGTCCTACAGTACATCTCTTTCTGGTGTATCAGAAATGTCTTGCTTCCCTCTGGTGTTAAGGATTAATTTGGGCCACTCTTCCTGTCAGAGTTAGTAAATGCAACTCTCTCTTCCAGCACCAGGTATCAAGCAAGGTTTAAGAACTTCAATCCTGAGCCTACCAAGAGAAAACAAAAAAGGCAAAACCCTTTTAAGTGCCTTTGGAATCCATCACCTTGAACTTCTCAATGCTCTTCAAATATTCTAACACTGAACGACATCAGTCTTTGTAAGAGCAATTCCTGATGCAGTGAGCAAGCTAGAACGACAGACAGAACCCAGCCAACACCAGCAGCACTCGTGGAAGTTGCACAACACACAGATGAGGTTGGTAACAAGGGCTAGAGGCGGGGAGGACAGCACAGGACTGGAGCTTTGTTTGCATTTCTGGCTTTGCAGTTTGTTCTTCACCTGCACTGGAGGTCATGGGATTTTATTGATTTCTGTTTCTCATCAAGTTAATGAGACATGCTGCAGGACAGCTTATCTGAAAAACTCCATACCCTGAGGTGGTAAAGTAAAAGCTGCTCCATTGAGTCTGTCATCCAGATTGGTGGGGTGCTTATTTAATGATGAGCGGTTTTGCTAATGGCAAGGAGGCTGGGATAATTAAAAGGATCAATTTTCTGAAGAGGATGTTGTTGTAATTTTATATAATTGAACTGTTATTTTTGTCCAGAAATCTTCTCACTTCTTAATGCATTCAGCATCCAACAGCTTTAACTAACACTGCTTCATTTACCTTGTAAATGGGAGGGAATGGGTTCCTCCCTTAGTTGGAGGAACATTGCTGACAATATATCCAGGCTGGTTTTCTAGTGCATGCAGCCCAGACACAAGTCAAGTTCAGGAAGTGAAAATACCAGTCTTAATTCAAGATTCCCAGTCAAGACTATACCTGGTGCTTAAAAAAAAAAAAAAAAAAAATAAAAAAAAAAAAAAAGCCAACCCAAACTATTTTATGGAAATAGATTTTGCAGTCTTACCTTTTAACAATTTATGTGTAACACATAAACGCATATTACACAAAATATGAAAGATGTGATGAGCTCTATTTAAACAGCAGGTCTCCAATCGCAGAGTAATTGTAACATACGCTTTTCTTGAGAGGCTGTATTTAAAAGGTGAATTACGAGAAAGCGTTAATTAGTCGATTAACTAATTGATTTCTTTGGCCCAGGTTGTGGTCAGACGGTGCTCTGTGATTACTGACAGGTCTGTGGCCCTGCTGTGAAGCTGCTGCTGGCTGTAACCCTACGCACGCACCGAGCAGAGGCGGGACGAGCACCAGCGACTCCTGCCGCGGAGCCGCCCGGGTCAGGCGCTCTGCGGGGGATGGGACACGGGGCGGGACACGCGGACGGACACGCGGACGGACACGGGGCCGAAGCCGCTCCCGCCGCTCGCCGGGGGCGTCCCCCGCGCTCCAGCCCAATTATGGCCGCGCGCGGGGCTCGCGCGCCGCCGGGCCAATCAGGCGGGGCGCCGCGGCCGCGCGCGCTGTCCCGTGACCGCGCCCCCGCAGGCAGGGCGGGCAGCCCCGCGCCTGAGGGGGCACAGCGGCCGCAGCGGCGCGGGCGGGATGGCGCGGAGCGGCGCGGCGCTCGGCAGGGCGATGGCCACGGCGGCCGCCGCCAGGTACGCGGGGCGAGGCGCGGATACCGCGGGCGTGACTGAGAGGGGCCGCGTGCCCGGTTAGAAACTCACCTCCTGTTTGCCCGAGACAGTGGCAGAGCTGGGAGCAATCCGTCCAAAACTGAGGGAGCGCCCGGATGTTTTCCGCTTCAGATAATGCAACAAGTTCCTTCTCACCTGAGCGTGTGTAAGGCTGGCTGCAACAGCTTGAGGAAAACAATATGCTTTGGTGAAGAGTTAACTTTTCATCTGAAAGAAAAAAAAGCAAGCAGATGAGAGAGTGCGATTTGAAAATCTTAGTGTAAAAGGTTCACCTGTTAGCACTGTTACGGCAGTGCTGCTGTGAGAGGGATTGGGAGAGGGATGGAGTCTCACCGTGGCAGTGCTGCTGTGTTTCTTTATCAAACTCTGTCATCCTCATAAGAACTGTTCAAAAAGTGAAACAGAGATTGGGTCATGATGTCAAATTTCATGCAGCCATTTGACAGAACTGTTAACTGTGCAGTGGTAAAATGTAACACTGGACCACATTTTTTTACTGTATATTCTTTTGGTATAATCGTAGTGTTGTGTCTGCAATATTAAATTCTTTCAGTCCTGGCCAACAAAATTGCTGTTTTAAAGAGTAATTTATTAGAGTCTCCAGGGCAAAATCAATTGCTGGGATGGTGTTTGGTATAAGGAAACCCATTAAGTAACTGCTTGCAAATTCAGTTTAAAAATGTTTCTAGTGGAAGCTGCAGGGATCTTGGCAGCGGGCTTTAAGCAAGCACAAACCGGATCAAACCCAGTGCTGTGCTACTGAAGCCCTGGAGCTGGGGACGCCTCAGTGCTGCAGTTGTCCCCTGGAATGCACTCTGTACCTGCTGCCAACTCGGCAGGACCTCACTGTGCTCACAAGCAGGCTTCAAGGGCTCAGGTGGGAAATGAGTCTCATGTGCTTATTCAAACTGAGATGCTAGTGAGCACACTTGCTGGTACACTCATTTTTTGGGATACAAGCAGCTGTTATCAAATAATTTGAATGGGATCAACTGGTGCCTCACAGACCATAAAGTCAGATATCACTAACCTGATCAAAGTATCAGCTGGGGTACTGTAAACACATTTGCCCTGGCATGCTCCTGGCACTAATTTCAATGTTTGCACTGAGGAGTTAAGAGAGCCATTTTTTCAAAAAAGTTAATCTTCAGGCTTAGAAAATTGTGTAGTTATTAAAGAAATAAAATTTTAAAAAATCACAGAATATGGATCACTTACTTGTGCATGTCATACTCCAGGAATGCTTCCTTTTCAGGCCATGGGAGTTGGGTGGTGCCGTGGTCACTCCTCAGGTGCTCAGGGAGGAAGCAGTGAGTGGCAGGAGTGAGTGGAGATGCTTCTGTCACTGGCAGGAGACAAATACAGAGGTGGCAGGTGTGTCTGAATTCTAGAATTGGCTTGGCTTTTCTTCACTGGCCCAGGTCAGCTTCACAAAAACACGTGACAGTCCATGGAAATCAAGGGATTTCTTAGAGATGTGCTTCCCTGACCTGGGAGCCAGCCCAGCACATTCTCACATCATCTGCTCTTCAGATAAAATTGGGAGAGGGACAGAGGCTCACCATACTTGTTAGCATTACAGCCTCTTAGCCTTGCCTTCCTCGAGTGGCAAGGACACAGGCTTTCAGCAGCTGAGAGATTATTTGGAGGGATTGTTTTTCAGCCCTGTGGCTGAAACAAGTTCAGATAAAACTGCATGAAACAATAGACTGGCACGGCAGGACAGTAAAAAACAAACCAAGACAAACCCTGGTGACTGGTTTGGACTGTGTCCTGTACATATCCCAGATAATGGAATGTAAATCAGCTGTGCAGAATGAGGTCTGCTCCACACATTTGAACACCTCCTGTGAATCTGGTTGAGGCAGCTACAATGTTACTGGCACTCTTCCAGCATTCCTGCCAAAGCTTTTCCTTAACAGTCTTGTATGGTCTGTCTGGAAAAAACAGACTTTGTCCACATCCCTTGGGATGCTGTTACCAACATTTGCAGAGTCTAAAGGCTTTTAAAGTGGACCTATCTCTCTTAATTTTGATGCAATACTTCTGTCCCATTTTAGTTTCTTTTCAACTGCAGTGATTTCAGTGTGTTTTCAGGCATCATGCTTCATATCCCAGTTGCAGAGTTGGTTTTTAAAAAGTTTGTAGATTGTTTCTAACCAGCTGCTAATAATGATTATTTTCCTCTAAACTCTACCAGTTTGTTATTTACATGACTCCTAATACAGTGACCATGTAAGCTGGTGTGCTCAGTCATGGGTAAACTACTGTATTTCATTAGAATTCTTAATTATGCTGATTTTAAAGAACATATTGCTAATTTTAATGAAATTTAATTCAAAATTGGTAACTAATTTGCTGATTAATTTGGTGCTTGGTTAAAAAAAAAAAAAAAAAGAAAAAGGGCATCTACCTGTTCATTGTGTCTAAAAAAACAACAAAGCAACCAACCAAACCCAAAGAAGCCTAGTTCTGAGTAAAAGAGGTTGGCTCCATTTTTAACCACGTGAATCAGAAGTATAGTCCTGATTGTATAGTTAGAGGAAGATCAGTAAAAGACCCGAGTTACTTGTTAGCTTATGTTTGTAGAGTCATTGTGGGCAAATAGTGGCATTTTTACTTTCCTGGTGCCAAAATTCAGAGCTCCTCAGGCAGCATTTTGCATCTTGACTGACCTGATCTGAGGAAAATCAGTGATTTAGCAGAACTGTTCCACACAGTGAATATTTGTTAGATTTTAGTGTAGATGTTCACAGAGAACACCGAGGTGCAATCTTGGAGTTACTAGTACTTTTAAAGATAATTTGTTAAGTTTTACTTCTGAAAACACTGCATCCAAGGTTCTAGTGATATTTTCTGAAGGAAGTGTTGAAAGCTGGGTAAACAAAGCAACTTCTGAAAGACTTTCAAATGAAATTGTCCTTTTAAGAGAAGGGTGGCTGCAGAGGGATTATAGCAGAGTTCAGCTTTCTGTTTCCAAATGAACCCTTCTCTAATTAGTGTATTCCAAAAGGGTAAAGCTTTGCAAACTGTGCCTCATTTTTGCTGTTCAGAAAGCCTCTTCTGCAGGCTGAGTGCTTGTGAGACTTGGGCATGAACTCAAGCTGCCCGTGGTTAATGGGCCCTTTGTCCTGCACTCTGCCAGTTGGTGCTGGCATCACTGAGGGCTATTTTTAGCTCCTCTTAGGGAGAAAAAAAAAGGTGGCCCTTGTGTGTGTGACAGTTTATATTGTTACAAGCCTTTGTTTTTCCATCTGGCTGACATTTTCTATAATGTTATACAAGAGATGGTTTGTCCTACCTGAATGCATTGTTGTTTATTTCGCGGATATCAAACACGTCTAAAAGCATTTTCCCTCTTTCAGGCACTTGGCTTCTTGTGGTATTCTGATGACCAGAACTTCTCCTGTGATGAGCCACACTTTTTCAAGAAACTTCTTCAATGTTGCTGCACCACTAATAAATAAAAGAAAAGAATATTCTGAAAGAAGAATTATAGGGTTGGTATGAGACTGTGGAAAGATGCTTTAAATGCTTATTGATTTTGTGTTTGCTGTAATTAATCCAAAACACTAGTAGTTCAAAAGACTGGGTATCCCTGAAGTCACATGTAAGACTCTGGAGCATAGAAAGGAGTTTTGACTTTCAGAATTTGTAGAGATTAGGTTTACCAGCCTGAAAGATAATATGAAAAATGTAGGAACCCAAAGCCCTTGGCCCATAGCAAGGAAGAGCAGAAATAACTGTTCCATTTCATGACAAAACAAAGCCAACCTTGAAATGGAGTAATACACTAAGATTTTCATCTAGTAAAATGTGAATAACTCAATAGGTGTGAAAACCCTGTTCCATTCTCTCCCAAACACATGCTAAAGTTTGTACTTACATTATATTATATTTCTCAAGATTTTCTTATTTCTTTAAAAGAAGAAAAGTAATTAGTTCTGTGATGAACAAACTTCACACAGACAAAGATTTTGAGACCTTGTTTGCCTTAGAGCTAGTGGGAAAATCCCAGGTTATGCAATGATACTGGGATTTGCCCAGTCTCTGGTCCACAACAGTATGAACTGTTTATCAGCATATTATTTTTACTATCCTTAACAATCCTTTTTTTGATAGTTCTTGAACTGCAACAGATCTTGCCTAGTCACTCAAAGAGAGCCTTTGTCCAATAGTGCTCACTGCTAAGTGCTGTTGAACATATGCTTCATTTTAAAGGAAATTAGGCACATGCTTAATCCCATCTGTTTCAGAGTCAGAATGAAAAATTAAAACCCATAGCTGTGTAATACTTTGCCATGTTACAGCAGAATCAGCTAAAATGTTGCCCTAATAGTGTTTCATCTGATTTCAATATCCTGCCTGAGCAGGGGTGTTGGATAAATGAGGTCCAGAGGTCCCTTCCAACATCAGCCATTCTGTGATGCTGGAAGGTTTTCCCATTGCATCTGTTTTTTTAATTAAGCTTTTTTATTTGGGCTCAATGAAGGAAGTAGCAGGCACTAGGTTCATTATTCACTAAAGCTACTGCTGGATGGTGTGTGATATTTTGCTTCTTAATGCAAAAAACAATTACCAGTGCATTACTGTGCTTTCCTCTTAATTAGCAAAGCTGCATTTTCAATTTCCAAAATCAGTGGTAGTGACTATGTCCACCTTTCAACTGGCTATGCCACATAAACCATCCTTGATTTTTAATAGTAATTTGAAGTTTAAATACCTTGTAACTGTAATGTTCTCGTGTCCATTTCCAGGTATTCCATGCAGGAAATGTATGAAGTTGTTGCTGTTGTGGAGAATTACAAACTCTTTGTTCCTTGGTGTAAAAAGTCCGACATTCTCTCGAGGCGCTCTGGGTACTGCAAAGCAGAGCTAGAAATAGGATTCCCTCCTGTAGTAGAGAGATACACATCCATTGTGACCCTAGTGAGACCACATTTAGTTAAGGTAATTGCACTGTTCTTTTCTCCTAACCATAATTTTCCTTAACTTTTGTGCGTTGAAATTGGAGTATTCCAGGAATGTCTTGCCTTAAAACAAAATCCATGCTGGAAGTTCTTGGTGTGGATCAAAACTTGTGTTGCTTTTCTTTAAAGACTTTAGATAAACTGGAGAGAATTTGAATGTGTTTTAAAACAACCTGCCACGTGAGGGAGGAGAGGAAATCACTCTTTAATGTCTTTATTTGCAAAGCTGGCAGGCATTAAATGAAGATATTAACATTTTTGCTTTTTTTTTTTTGTTTGGTTTTTTTTGTTTTGGTTTTGTTTGTTTGTTTGTTTGTTTGTTTGTTTGTTTGTTTTTAATTTATTTGGTCCAAGCATCTCTGAATGCAAAATAAGTACTCATTTAAAAGCTATCTGACAACTCTAGCTTCTGGTGCCTTAATGAATAATAATAACTTATCTGTCATTACTTTTCTTCTCACAATTTTAACCAGCTAATATGAAAAGTCTAAAAAAAAGGCTAAGCTTCAGTACAATGTGCTGAAGAGATGGTTATTCAATATATTGATGAGAAGAAGGAAATGTGGATTTAAAATCAATTTTTTACAATTAATTTTTTCACAAGAGAAGCAGTTCTATTTTTCCTTTCAGCTTTTTATGAGCAATAATTAAGAGAAAAGTAGAAAAGTGTCAAGTAAAATATTTTAAATGATGCCTGGTTGTTCTATTGGTTTGTCATATATGTTCAAATCTGTTTTGGTAAAGAATGGCTCAGAACAGATTCCTTATAGCAAAACTGCCTCTCCCTTGGCAGAGCCTGATTGGTTTGGAATAATTTGTGGAAATTATAGCATTTGATTGCTGTTCAAGATAATTGTTTGAAAATTCTATTTCACTATTCTTTTCTAGGCTTCCTAATAAGAGACACTTAAGAGAAAATGAGTTTCTGAAGTAGAGGGGATATGTAAATTGGAAAAAGGAATATGCAAAATGCCTTTATTCAGCATCCTTACTGATTCTGGAAAGAAAAGAAAATTCTCTATTTAAAAAGTTGAGCAGCTATAATGGAAAATCTGTGACTTAGATGCTGAGAGCTTTCCTTTTCTACAGTTTCCTGAGAAGACAGGCTTTTTTTTTTCACACAGCTATCAGATTGGCTTACCAACTCTTTTTCCCTCTTAATTCACTCAAAAGAAGAATTCTTGTCTCAGAAAAAAGACTCACAAAAGTGGTGAGGAAAGCCATTTCTTCAGATTGCCTCCCCTGAGGCTCATTAGCCTTTTCTCTGCTGCAATTACTTTTCCTAGAGGTTTACATGATGTCCACAGAAGTGCAGGAACATTTCTAGGGAAGTGATTGTGTGCTTGGACCATTTCACTGTCCTCTCAAGTAACTCCAGGCAAAGGAACCTTGTGTGCTGCTCAGGCACACAATGGGAATGGGTTTGCTGCTTAAGGTTTTCCCCTTTTTAGGGCTTAAACAATGGAAAAATCAGATTGGTAACAGCAGTTTTTGCTGGGGGGGAAAACATGGAGTGAGTTTGCTACTTTAGGACTGGGAGAAGGGGAACACAGTGGCACTTTTCCCATTTTTCCTGCTGTTTTGATAGCAGGAGGAAAAAGCAGGCCCAGCTCATTGTATCTAATCTTCCCTCTACTCCTTCCCTTTCTGCTATAGAAGTAGCAAGGCCACGCAGTATCTCATTCCTGGAAAGAGCAATGTCGGTGTTTTTGTGCTGGTGATTATTCTGAGATGAGTCACCTCAGCACAGCTCTCCAAGCCAAACAACACCTATTCCCTGGGGCAGTCTCTTGGAGCAGAGCTCCTTGGGCTAACAATGAGAACTTGTGCAAAAATGACCCAAGAAAAAGTTACAGAAGTTGTCTCTACAAATTGCAAACTAGTTGAGAGTTGAATTTATGTATTTGGATGTTCTGTGCATCATGCCACAGATCTGTGTTATGACACTCAGACACAGTATTTTCCTCTGCCTCGGAAGGACCTCAGTTCTTTTGGCATAATTGCCATCTTTGCATATTGGATTTCATGCTGGCTATGCTGTAAGAACAGGTTTAACTATGTCACAACCATCACTATTTAACAAAATGTAAACACAAGCTTCAGTAATACCTGATTGTCACATTTGTAAAAGCCTAACTGTAGCTTGATTTTCAAACCTTTATTTTAGGCATCATGCACAGATGGGAAACTCTTTAATCACTTGGAAACAGTGTGGCGTTTGAGCCCTGGTATCCCTGGGTATCCAAGGACATGTACATTGGATTTTTCAGTAAGTATTGTAATTAAAGTGCCACATGCTAGGAGCAGCACATAGAAACACTTATCTTCAACTCAGAGCACTTTTTAAAATGCCTCTACTACTTCTTTAAACACTTAGACACAGAAAACAAGTTGGCTTTAGTCAGTTCTGTCCAAAAAATATTTTGTAAACTTTACTGTTGGAAACCACTTCAGTATTGTTCAGAAAGAGCAGCCTTCTGTGAGGTGTCCTGTGTCATGAAACAGTCTGGGACAGGCACCTCTCACCCTGCAGTTCTGAACACATTGACGTTTTTAGACAGTCCAGTGCAGGAGAAATGCTAAATATACTTTGCTATATTCTTTAATCACTGTGCAACCTAAATGGTACCAGAGAGTCAGTGTCCTGCCATCTGTCCTGTTTGGCCTGCAGTGTGGTCAGTTTAATTTCCTGTTTTCCAGTTTTACTCTTTCACGTATTTTAAGCCTTACTCCTTCCTTCTCTAACACAAGTGTAATAGAATTTTGCTGTCTCTAATCTGTGATGGGATATCACTGCAGCCCAAAAGTATTGCTCTTTAAATCCAGTACCTGATTTAGCCTGATTTCACTCCCAGAAAAGCTGTTTCCATTCCAGTTACTGCTTTTCCATGTTCTCTGGTTTGTCTGCCATCACATTTTTTCTTGCATTTTATAACAACGTGTGTAACAAAGCACTGAGCAGGGGGTTGGAACAGGCTGCTAAAGTACACAGAGCTGGGCTAATCCTGCTGCCATCTGCTGGAATACCCTGCTTTGAAAATTATCTTCAGTAAATAGGAAAAAACTTTTGGAGTATTTTTAAACTAGCACATTAACCTCCTTGGGTTATTAACTTTCAGCTTAATACTGTATTGCACTTCATGCAGTTTAATAGTAAAAATTAATCTAAAGGTGCTCAAAGAAGCACAATTTTTAATGGTTTGCATGATATGTGCTCATGTTATTTCTATTTCTTTAGGCAAATAAGCGTCAGTTCTTTCTACTAACACATATAAGCTATCTTTTAACCCAAGCCATAAATCAGTTAAAAAACTTTAATTAAACAGCTATTTAAAGCCTACATTCTACATACAGGCTCTGTGAGAAAACAGCACCACACCTCCACAAACCAAAGCCACATTTTGACATTTCAGGTCAAGAACTTCAGTTAAATGGAATAAAAATGGAACTGGATATGGACATTTTCATTTTCTTGGGGGAACACTATCAACACATCTTACTGCTTACCCTGTTTGGAGGCAGCAAAGGAAGGCAGTGCAGTTGGCTGAGCTGAACCTCTGCCGGTGCCTGCCCTGCTGCTCCTTGCCTCTGGGCATGTGCAGGCAGGGATGATAAACATTTCCCAACAAACTCCTCAAAACAGGCCCTGCAATTACAGATATTCCAGAGAAAACTTCAACTTAAGAATGCTTGTTTACTTTAGAAAATGTTATTTGAGTTTTGAGCTATGCTGGTTCCCACAAGCTGCTGAATCCTGTTTTGCCAGCCTGATTCCAGGAGACATCCACATACAGCAGGGAACTTTTCCTACTTTGGTTTTTAGCTCTGAAATTATTTGGTTCATAGACTGAAGCACACCACCCTTTTTACCACCTGCAAACTTCATTAATGTATTGCATACCTTAAGATTGACATAATTGCTGAACACAATGCCAGACTCCACATCCCCACTGCAGAACTCCCATGCCCTTAATGACAGCTCTCAGACTTGCAAGAGGCACGTTAATTTTATTGATGCTTGAGGTCAAACAAATGTAAATGAAGCTACACTTGGCTTATGGGCCAAGCTGTTTAATTACTTCTGTGCTACTGCTTTGCAGTTAAATGCATTGCTCATAAGGAGTTGGGGAGAAGCTGTATTTGCTCCTTGTGGCATTAAATCTGATTTTTCAGGAATAACAAAAATTAACTAACTCCCAATCCATTTCACTGACTGCTGGTGTCAGGTCAGCAGTGGGAGCTGTTCAGATGGGAGCTATGACACACAAACCAAATCTATAATTTTAGTCATTACACTGCTTGTTTGAACCTACCAGAACTACTGCCACCAAAAGGAAAGACTGATTTAAAATATTGGCATTTAACAGGTAACTATTTCAAGTCGCTTTTAAGTTTCTTGGGTGTGCTCCAGCTTACCTGTTAGTCTGTTGTCTTGCCACGCAGGACTTTCTTCAGACAGCTTTTGTCCCTCAAGTCAATTCTGTGCACAAAATAAGTTATTGTTTGTCAGCAGTTTTTCATTACCCCAAACCTCTTTTGTAATGAACCATTTATAAAAGAAAAGACATTTTAGGTAAATATAAATGACTATTTCAGAGAACTGAATGAGAGGATTCTTTTAATGGAAAAGCCCAGAAGTACAGTCCTTAGACCAAGGAACATGGGTTTCCTTCTCAGCCACATTCACCTATTCCCCAGTTTTAGCTGTTCTACAACTTACCTGCAGCCTTCATTGGAAATCCTCTAATAGAGTTGTCTATTTGTAACAGCATTTTACAACGGTATATATAGGAAAAATAATTATCTTTATTTTCTTAAACAGATTTCTTTTGAATTTCGTTCACTTCTACACTCAAAACTTGCTACACTATTTTTTGATGAAGTTGTAAAGCAGATGGTTGCTGCCTTTGAAAGAAGAGCATCCAAGCTCCATGGCCCAGAAACCAGCATTCCTCGGGAGCTGATGCTGCATGAAGTCCATCAGACGTAGAGGGAAACTGTAACAACGCCAGCTATAAACTTGTCCGTACACTTCACTTGTACAAAGTGCCCTGCTCCTCCTTTGGGGCATTCATTTCTTATCTGAGCTTGGGTGTGATCTTACCCTGTGCCAAGCACACCTGCTCAGACAGACAGACAGACATAGAATGTTCAAAAGCTGCAATCAAGTGCAGCCTAAAGCCTTATCAGCTCCCGTAACCCCGGCTATCTGGGCTGCCGTTAACGCCAAACGGCTCCTGGAATCACAGCCCCAGCTCTGCCCTAGCCAAGCTCCTGGCGAGTTTCAGCACTGTAACTTATTAACTCAGCTTGCTGGGAATGTAACTTCAGAGCATCAACTCGGCCAGCTCTGCCCAGGCAGAGGCCAACTGACACACTGGCTTCCCAGAGAATGGCACAGCTTGGCAGCCATTGAGGAGTGGTGCTTTGAATTCAAATGAGTGGCAGAGGTAAGTCAGGGATTTCCCATTGCCCCTAGAGTGACCAGCAACTGTTTTCCAACTGCCCTTGTTTTCAGGGATGAAATGCATAAGGAGCACTGTAACCCGAGTGCAGCAGTCTCAGCTACAGCCAGTGGTGCCCAGTGCACCTGTCTTCTGGAATTTGTAGCACCTTTGGCAGGCTGAAGTTGCTCCTTGCCACTCCTTCCCTGGTACAGGCTGCACTTGGGTTGCCTCCATCTCACCTAATGCAAACAGAACACTTTAAAGCAAGGTTTACCTCTGAGAACCAGGTACCCGTGCTGTCCTCCCTGGAAGCAGGTAACAGGAGGCCCTGTGCTTCCTTGCAGACAAGGACAGCCCAGGCCAGCTGTCATCATAGATCATGTAAGAGCACTAAACCTCCATTCTTTGAGGTTTTTCAGTACCATACTCCCAACTGATAACATCATCCTGATTCAGTACATGTTCAGTACTTCTACTCCTGAATGTTCTCTTCCCAGTCTCTAAAAAAACTAAGTGAATAGGTTTGAACAGATTTTAAATCCTTACTTTATGCTGCCTTGCATTACCAAATTTCGTTATTGATATTAGGTGAAGCTTCAGGCCAGGTGCTGAAGCTGGTAGTTTCTCTGCAGCACATGTAATTCATATGGTTAATGAAGAACAGCATATTAAATAACATAGAAAGGTATGTTTCAAAATAAAGACACCCCTGAAAGAGTTTCAGATAATTTTACTTAAAATTAGAACATCACACATCCCATCTGTGGAAGGATAGTTCTTATTAAGGGCAGGAAGCTGAGGAAAGCAACAGGTGGATGAAGGTCATTTGTACAGAACTGAGAAGTTGTAAAGCAGTTTTGATTGAGGTAATCAGGTATAAACATACACCAGTTTGGGAACAGCATTGCTCTGCAGGCTGGAAAGCAGAAAAGACTGCACAATGGTAGTGGTGGTGCCAGGGCAAAGAACACAAAGAGGCAAAGCAACATTTCTAGTGCAAAATCACTAAATCCTGCACCCCTTACTGGAAAGGAGGAAGGTAAGAATGGAAGGCTCAAGGTGAGGAGGTAATCACATATTACACCTGAGCAAAGGAAGGATCTAAAAACCCCAGAACCCTTTCTTAGCAAAGACTCACCTGTGTGATACCTCAGGGCACTTCTCTGCCCCTGGGAGTGTGAAAGGTGCACTGGGCCTGTTCCAGCACGTGAAACAACCAGATAGACAGGGCAAAATAAAGTCAGTGCACGTGCCTTGTTTTCAGAGCATTGTTTAATATTTCAAAGAACTGTAGTGCAGTTCAGCTTAGATATTTCTTACCAAAATTAAAGCACTTGCATTTCTGAGAAACATTCTAGACAAAGGAATGTTTCTCGGAGTGAAATGCCCTGTCATTTTTTCAAGCATAAGTGTCAATTTCTACTACATCTTAGAAGCAACAGCAGGCTGTCCAGGCTCTCCCATAACTGTGGCTTGGTGTGCAGATGAAGGAGGTGATACATTTTGTAACTTTTGAGCAGTTTATTACATAAAGGTCACATAACTCTATTTGCCTACTTTGTACACAATTGTCTAATCTCACGCACAGTGGCTTCCAAGTTCTTTCTAGTACTGGCAAGCACCAAGAAATTCTGAAATAGAATATCAAGTGCCTTAATTAAGTTCAAATCAGGACCTTGGTAGATGGATCTTGCAACCCAGTTATCAGGAATGTACAAATGTCTTTATTCAAAAAATACAAAATAAATTATCTGTAGGCATGGACAATGACTGTAAACAATTACACGTGTGTTAAATGAAATCCAGTAACTGATGGTTACAGTGATTCTTTTCAACACCAGCCTCACTTCAGTCACTATCCATCCTCTCACACTGATAGCTCAAGTTTTTGAAGTCAGAACTGTCAGTCTTTCAACAGCACAGCTCATGATGCATCCCTACGCCAGGAATTAGAACATGCCACCTCCCATTCCTCCACCCATCCCACCCATTCCTCCCATTGCCGGCTCCTTTTCTTCTTTAGGAACTTCAGTCACCACTGCCTCTGCTGTTGATAGGAGAGATGCAACACCCGCGGCATCCATCAGAGCAGTTCTCACAACCTAAAAATAAGCAAGAAACTACTTAAAACCTGCTGACCATCACAGGAAGTGGCAGGAAGCAAAGCTGACAATTAAGAGCTTTAGGTTACCTTAGTTGGGTCTATGATTCCTTTTTCTACCATATTTACAAAGTCCCCAAGCATTGCATCGTAGCCAACTTCTGATGGGCTCTGCAGGATTTTTTCAACTATCAATGATCCTTCAACACCGGCATTCTTTGCGATAGTCATTGCTGGGATTCTCAGTGTTCTCTTGATTATTTCAATGCCTGCAAGAAACAGGATAGCTGGAGCTCCATGTACAAACACCACTCCCACTGCCAAGGAATGCCCTAGTGCTGGAGATCAATACAAAGGAAACTCTCCGAGCAAGAACATAAGCCATTTTTGTCAGTTCCAGGAGGAGAGGTTCTCTGCAGGATATTCATGCACATTTCAGTTTTACTTCTACAAAAAATAGTAACAAGTATTATTACTCTCTATGTGCAACATGACACAAAGCCTTTTTCCATTTGATTTGCCTCACAGTCTCTTGAGCATTAGATTTTGTCTGTCTGCAAAGACTTTTAACAGCCAGCTCCCAACTCTAAACAACTGCCACTCTGTGCTGGGATACTGCTACTGGGTCTTACACAGTCCAGTCAGCCATGCAGTGAAAAAGCTCCTTCCCACTCAGAGACCTGCACATCAAAGAAATGTGATATTCCTAAGACCAAGTAACTAAAAACTCACTAAAAGCCACACGATAAAGCCTCAGGACAGGGGAAAGCGTGCTTGTATCACTTCCACACCCATCTCCAGTCACGTGCTTACCAATTTTCTGATCCTCGTTGGCTGGAGTTAAGGCATCTAAGGCTGGGATGCAGCGCAGCAGGGCACAGCCACCCCCTGGCACGATGCCCTCCTCCACAGCCGCACGGGTGGCGTTCAGGGCGTCGGTGACCCTGTCCTTCTTCTCGTTCACCTCAACATCGCTGGTTCCGCCCACCTGCCAGCACAGCAGCAAAGCCACACGTCAAGGGCTGCAGCAGGGGCCCAGCTGGGACAGCACTGCTGCCACCAGGTTAAGCTGCCAATGCCTAACAAATGCCAGAAAGCCAACCCACCCTCTCCCACACTGGCAAGCTTCTTCTGTAGCTCAGCACTCAAGAAGCCTGAGCTTTAGTTCATCATGATTTTACCAAGTTCTTCATACCTTCAATACTGCTACTCCATCAGACAGCTTGGCCAGTCGCTCGTTCAGTTTCTCTTTTTCATATTCACTGGTGGTAACCTCCAGCTGTTCAATTATTTCTTGAATGCGTTTTTCAATCTGACCCTTTTCACCCTTCCCCTTGAGAAGCATGGTGTCATCTTTTGTCACAATGACCTCTCCAACTTTACCAAAGTCATGAGGCTGAATATCTTCCACATTTAGGTTCAAACCCTCTTCTCCAAACACCTGAAAGAAATTATGTGAAAAGCTGCAATTCACAGGTACCTCACACATCAGATATTTTTATCTACAAGTACATGAACACATACAGCAGACTAATGGTGCAGAATAACCACACTGCTGCAGTTGCACCCTCTGGGTGAAGAGCCTCTTCCTGATACCCAACCTAAACCTCCCCTGACAGAGTTTCATGGTGTTTCCTTCAGTCCTGTCACCATCATCTCCTTGTATTGTGAGGAGTTACAGATTTTGACATGTCACTGACTGAAGAACAGTTTGCTGGTTGGTTACTTTGTGCTGCCATTACCTTAAACATGAAATTTTATTTCAACAGCCTTCTCTGGGTCCCAATATCATGCTATGATTTTGAAGTGCATATTAAAAAAGGAAGCATAAAGGGACATTAATCAGTGCATCAACTATATGCAAAATTTAGTAGTAAGAAAAATAATTCAGTCAATTCCAAACATTTAAAATAATTATATTTGCCACATCTGAGTCCGGGCAATTGTTTATGGAGGCAACAATTGCCTTGGAGTTCCTCCTTTCCCTTAAAAACCTAAATCCTGCAAGGAGATCTCATGTGACTTCAGTCAGTTACAAGGACACATGGTTGGCCAGGACTACATTTCACAGCAATTATCAGTGTCTGCATTTTAAAAAACAGCAAGTTTCGATCAGTTACTGTTACGTTTTTGAAAGAACAGAATACAGCCTGCAACCCAGCAAATACAAGCCAAAGATCTAGAAATGCACAGTATTTTCCTCCTTGAAAAGCATTAACATCCCTTGGAGCAAAAAGCCACTGAAAACATCATTACTTACAGCACCACCAGTAGCAATCGCCATGTCCTTAAGTTGGTTTTTCCTGTTATCACCAAAACCTGGTGCTTTTACAGCAACAACCTGAAGGCCAACCTTCAGTCTAAAGACAAAAATTCAGAGAAGGAGTCTAATTACTACACCAAATTATTTCAGTGCAGCTCTAGCAGTCAAGCAAACAAAGACCACCACAAACTGAGGTGGTTTTTCTCAAAAAGGTAGTTAGCACACAACTGGAGTTCTGCCTGAGTTGACAGAAAGCATGGTGGGGTTAAAAGCTGCTGTTTCTTTGGCACAGGTGAGAGAAGAATGAGCCTTACACCATAGAAAAAAATGGATTTTAAGTCTCACCTGTTCAAGACTAGAGTGCTGAGGGCTTCTCCATCAACATCTTCAGCAATGATGACCAAAGGTTTGCGGTTGGCATTGGCAATTTCAAGAGCAGGAACTATGGACTGTACACTAGAGATTTTCTTTTCACTGATTAAAACATAAGCGTCCTGGAATTCACATTTCTGCCCTGCAGAAACAACATGCATTATCTCAACAGTTCCATTACAAAAACATATCAAGCATTCTTTTAACTTAAGCAGGTGCTGTGGTGCAATGGTTGCACTTTCCAACTGCATTAAGAAAAAGACAACTTGTTTTCTCCAAGACTCCACTCTCAATTCTCCATTGTTCTGCTGTGTTGCAAGACCAGCCTGGAACACTTTGCAGAGAAGGAAAAGGAAACCCTGACACTCCAAGCTTTTAGCAAGTTCAAGTTTCTGATGGGCAAGGAGCCCCTGCTCTATTTGCTGTGCTGCACAGCATAAGGGACTTGTAAAGCCTTTAACACAAACCACTGGAGGTGTTTGACCTAACTTATTGTAACTCACCTTTAGTTGTGTTAATAAAATATGGAGAGATGTAGCCTCTGTCGAATTTCATACCCTCAATGATTTCCAGTTCATCATTTAGAGTCTTTCCATCCTGTTAAATGCAAGAAAGTCTGCATTAAAATCTCTGGTTTGCTGCAAAAGCACAAGTACAGTTGAAAGGCTCTGGATCTCACATCAGTTTCATGTGCTTCTCTCCAAAACAGAAAGAATTTAAGAGGGAACAGTGATCAAACTCTGATCTAAAGGAGCTGGGGAGGAATTATGGTGGGAATTATGGAATGGGAGCTGCAGCAGCAGCATCACACATGACAAAAGCCAGCCCTAACAGGAGCACAGACAGTCACTTGGCCAGTTCTTACCTTGACAGTGATCACACCCTTTCGTCCAACCTTTTTCATTGCATCAGAGATTATATTGCCAATTTCCTGATCTCCATTTGCTGATATTGTGGCAACCTGAAAGAATAAGACATTTAATCTCACTTCCAAATGCAAGGTGCTTCCTCATGATAAAGAAAAAAATCAGAATAACCATGTGCAACACTGACATTTCTGCCAAGGCAGGGCAGCAGTGCAGCACCCTCGCAGCATGAGGGCTCAGACTCCCTGCCTGCACTCACAGCCAGGCCACCTCCAGGCACAGGCACAAATAACCCAGCACCACCAACACACCTGGGCCTGATCTCCTCCAACAGATCTGTCATACCCTCTGCCATCACTTCCATTCACAGAGCTTTGCTCCCATCAATTCTTCCCAAGTACACACATTTATGTTTTAAGCCCATACTTTGGAATGAAATTCGAATATGAAAATATCTGCCCACTTGTGAACTAGCTTCTAGCAGTGCAATTAAAGACTATTTCTGATGTACAAAGAAAAGTCCCCAGCATCAAGATGCACACAACCTAACTTCATCAAACCTAACTTCACAAAACTTCTTTTGAGAAACAGCTGCCTAAATCTGGGTTATACTTTATTGTGTTTTTTCCTACCTGTGCAATTTCTTCTGGAGTTGTAACAGGTTTTGACAGCTTCTTCAGTTCAGCTGTGATGGCATCCACTGCCAGCATCACCCCTGAGGATGAACCGGGCACTTGTGAGCGAACAAAGCAAGGTACAGAGCACAGAAAACACAAACCAAGCACCCACCCACCACAACAAACAGGTTTCCTTTCTAGCAAAAATCCACACTGCAAAAATGCATTGTTTGCATGTTCAATACCAAATAATTCTTGTTCCATACTGTCATTTGTGTATGCAGTGCTGGGTTTTTTGAAATTGGTGTGAAATATTGTCATGATCAAGATTCCTAACAGATGCGTTTACATGGCTATTGTATTAATTAAATGCAGAAATAGCTTTAATTGTAGTTCACTTACAGCAAATTAAATAGGTTGACTGCATGTAAAATAGTACAATGATTAGACAGATTAATGGTTGCTCAGAGTCTGCAATATAAAAAAACATCAACTGTGTTCTCTAAAGATCATATAACCCTTTATGGTGGCTCTTCAAACAGAAAACAAGTCAAATTTAGGATATGAAAAATAGAAACAACAGGAAGAAGTTACCCCTCCTGATTTCTACAGGGTTGGCTCCTTTGCTGATCTTGTCAAAGCCCTCCTTGGCAATGGCTCGTGCCAGGACTGTTGCAGTAGTGGTTCCATCTCCTGCCTCCTCGTTGGTATTGTTGGCAACGTCTTGGACTAACTTGGCGCCGATGTTTTTGTATTTGTCTTTCAAGTCAATTGCCTTTGCTACTGTCACACCATCTTTTGTCACTTTGGGACTTCCCCAGCTTTGTTCAATAATAACTGTTCTTCCCTAGGGGGACAAAAACCATATTTTAAATCAAGCCAACCCAAAGCAGGTTACCATCAAGAGCTCAGCTGAGAGTTTTGAACAGTTACAGCTGAACACCTTACACAGGGCATTCAGCTGGGACTTCTCAAACACACACTTTAACACCAAGGTTCTCCAAAACCAGAAAAATGGCTCAAAGGCCTTATAGTTCCACAGAATGACTCCATTCTTCAGCCATACTAGTGAAGTCTGCAATTAACGAACACTGACCTTAGAGAAAAAACTGAACAGATTCCCTCTAATGGTACTATTTTAACCCAAAATTAAAAACTTAGCAATTCAAATAACCAAATTTTCATTAGCTCACAATCAACATTTTTTGTGATTGAAAAACAAATAATACAAAGCTCAATTTGTTGCATGTGCTGAAGGAAAAAAAGCAGACTTGCAAACCTCAATAGTGATTAGCAAACACAATTGAGACTACTTCAAATTTGTATTCATGTGTTACAGTAATTTCTCAAACACTGCAAGTTACCAAGCTTTTCTCAGCTCACACTTGGATCCAACTGGAAAGCTGGAGTATTCTAACTAACAGACACAGCTAACACGGGAAACTGAAGCATACAAGTTCACCATAAGGCAAATGCTCCTGCTTGTTCACAGGTGACTCCAACAGCCAATACCTGCCCCAAACAAACACGCTCCAGTTTGAGCTGGAGGCAGCAGAAACTCAAGGAGCCCCTCTGGTCTCCTGCTGCCCTGAAACTCCTGTACTGTGCTGGAGCTGCAGCTGCTGGAGAGGGAGGGCAGAGCGAGTGCCCAGCTCAGCGCTGTCCCAGGGCCCTCCCTGGGTGTGTCAGGTCCGGCCCCAGCCCGAGCTCTGCCGGCCCCGGGTGGGATCACGCGCCAGCGGAGCCGGGCGAGGATTGCGTGCAGGGCTGCGGTGCCCTGTGCCCTCCCTGCCCAGAGCCCACCCACATCTGCCTCAGGGACTGAACCAGCCCTGGCTGCCCGCCAGGCACGAGGCCTCGCTGCTCCAGAGGCACAACCACCCCTGCAGCCTCAAGGTTCTGCTTCAGTTCCTCAGGCTCAACCCGGGGAACAGCTTATGGAAATTTCCCTCTGTGCCACGGAACAGTTGTGCCAAAATGCATTCCCTACTCCTATCTTACTTGACCTGCACTTCTAAATATAAAGGTAAATCAAGAGTAAGAAAACTCCTCCCTGGAGGAGCATGCTACCAGTACGTTTTTCATATAATGTCTCCTAGCTTGCTTAATTCTCTTTTGTACTTTGATATAGTCTTATTCCTAATGTTTGGTTTGCAGCTCTGAGAAGAGGGGCACAACAAAACCCACAGATAACAAATCATATGAAGGGGCTTGCTCTCAGTAAAAACACCTGTCTGTGCTCCTGAAGAAGGGAACAAACACCACCAGTACCGGCACAGGCATTTCGAATGGTCTGGCATATTGGGAAGCTGAGCCCCCACACAAACCAGTTCTGTCCAACATGCTGGAGCACTACCAAAAGATTGTGTGAGACTGCAAACTGGGCTCCTTAAAATGTACAACAGGCCCAAAGGAGGTTTCCCCACCTCACTGATGTTTCTTAAAAATGCCAGAGGCTGACTCAGGCACTGCAGTAACCTCTCCATTTTTACATGAAGAACAGCACAACCAACAAAAATCCCCTAAGGTTGCATGAAGTTGCATCAGCAACTGCCCTTTAGCCAGTGGATTAGAACTGTGCTTCAGCATTCAGAGTAGCCTGATCCAAAAAAACAGGAGTTAAATTAACCAACTACGCTTAAACTTTGTTCCTTTGTGGAAGTAGCCACAGTTTCCTGACACAATTGTTCCTTAACCTTCACCTGCTCAGCTTTATGGCATTTTTGCCTTTGAATGAAGCTGGTAGAGCACTAAAAATGTGCAGAAAATACATGAAATGATGTTACAGAGACCAAGCAGCCCTTAGAAGAACTATCATGCACATGCTGTTACAGGGAACAGATAATCACATAAACCCCAAGAAAACCAGCATCTGTTCCTCAAAAAGAGGAATCTCATTTCAAGCCCTACTGCACATTGCATGACTATGCAGAATACCATAGCTGGTTTTCCAAGAGACCCAGATCTCCCTTACAGGACAGAATATAGGGTAACACAAATGAATGCTTCTACCACGAAATTTCACTTAGGCTGGTAATATTCACCAGTCAACTGAGAACTCAACATTACACTTTGGATATTTTTTAAAGCTTGTTAATATTTAAAAGGTAAAATAATACAAACTTGTAATTCGTAAAAAAAAATTAACAAACAAAACAATCATCATAAAAAAATCCAACCAAGCCACCCACAGGCTAATTAACCAACCCCAAGACACAGTTACATTATCTACTGTACTGTTACAGGTTATCAATTGAGCTGGTAACACATTATGCACATCTCCTGAACCTTCAAACTGTTTAGACGAATATAACGTACTTTTCACAGGAATCCAAGCAATTTTACTTTGTTACTACAAAAAGCACATGCACTACTGTCCCGCTTTTGGGGGACATGAGACTACAGCTGCTGGCAGGAGTCTGTCCATTCCCCAACCCCTTTGCGTTGCAGTTCTACAAATACAATCGCGCAGCTCCACCGAGAGAAACCCAACAACTGCTCTGTTAGAGTATTTTCAGCCAGGTCTGTGCTAAGATAAAGGGCGAGTCTTCCATTACCTTTGGCCCCATGGTGACAGCTACAGCATCTGCTAAAAGATCTACTCCTTGTAGCATCAGAGCTCTTGCGTCTGCTCCGAACTTCACATCTTTTGCATAGGCTCGTGTTAGATGGGGGGCGAGGGCTCTGGACACTGGTCTTATCTGACGGAGTACTGTAGGTAAACGAAGCATGTCTAAAATATTAAAAGAAACGTAGAGAAAAACAAAACAAAAAAAAAAAGGGCATTATGGTTTTGCACGGCTACTTCTACGAGAAAACAGTGGGAACAGATTTAGGAAGTAAAGCAGGCAGGACAAATCTTTAATTTTTCGACCGGTTGAAATGGAGGCACACAAGCAGCTGAGCAAATACCGGGCCGGGTGTCCCCGATCCTGCCGCCGAGAGC